TATCAGTGAGCATAACAAATATTCAATTATCGATCGATTATATCGCTCGGGGCATTAAAATCGGCTCAGAGATAGTTCCGAAAGTAGCAAATGATGACCGTTACTTTGAGGAGAAAGTTTAATAACTGTGACAACCACCGGTTTTTTTTTTTTTTTTTTTTTACTGTAAAGGGAAACAAGCGTAGATATTTTGGACTTCAATAAAAGTTTAATTTATGGAAGAGCAATTTCAAAAATCTCTCCAATTTTCAATTATACGGCAATCTTGTAATTATAATCGGTAATAAATTTTGATATATTTCAATTGACTTTATTGCCGTATTTTCTTTTTTCAATTGGAACAAAATCATTTTTATCTGACAGGAAATTCTGTTGCTCAAACATAGGCGAACAATTATTAAACTTAATTAAGAGATTTGTGTCAATTGTTGAACGACCGAGCTAAAGGATAAGACTTAACTTTATAAATTAGATTAGCAGTTCGTTAGGAATCCGTAAAGATTACAAAGAATTCAGAAAATGTTTAGATTTTATTCAAATAAGTCATTCAATAATAATCAAAATGTTCGAGATTTTTTTTAAATGCCTAAGGTTGAGATGGGATTCTCAAGAGTATTAAGTTCTAAGGTGGATCCTCTGACAACATAAACAAAATCTCTGTGATAAGAAGTTATCCTTCAAATTAGGTTTTAAAAAATCTCCACAAGAAAATTAAGGAGCGAACCAACAGAAAAAAAAGCCCGTATATATGTAATAATCAATGTTGTTGGATTTCAGATTGAAACAATAATTTATAATCTTTATTCTCTAATAGTATAATCTTTTATATAATCTAATAGCATATAATTTTTTTATTCGCTTCTTCCGCGTCTTTTAGGCTATACGGGTTTCACGAGCCAGTGGGAGAGGACGGGGGATTAATGTCAAATTTAAAAGCTCTCCGGGCAAAGTCTTTTGCACTTGCTTTAGCTAGTACAGTCACTTTCCCTTTGATGCCATTGCTGAACTAATGAACTTATCCATACTTTAATTAACCAATTTTTAAATCTCTTAATGGAAAAAATCATCAAATTATTCAACGATTAAATTTTCTAAACTGTTACACAATGATTTATTACAATAAACCATTTTATGACATTTTGAGGTTCAATAAATCAATCTGATCAATTTTTGAACTAAAAGCTTCTTTAGGGGCGTTTTGTACTTTTTTGTGGAGAGTGAATTAGATTGAGTCGTCAGATTTCCGATGTGTAACGCTCAGGTAGTCGGCTGGAGTAGACTAATAGAAGTGGATTAAAGTATCTCAAAATCTAAAAATAGGTCCTGAAAATTGTTAGCGAGGGAAATGTTCATCATTTCACTCTCTCTGCAATGAGCTATTATCCAAATTGTATATTTACGCGACGCCGTGTTACAGAGACGAAAAGAGAAAAAATATTGTCGACAATTAAATTATTACCAGTTTTATTGAAGATAGGGATTAAAATAACTCAGAAACTGATAATCGGATTTGCATATTGTGAGCAAGCGAATTGTTCAGCATTTCATACTCTCTGTAATAGGCTATTATTCAAAATTATACCTTAACGCGACGCCGTGTTAGAGAGGCGAAAAGGAAAAAAAAATAGTGCTTAAAACCAAATTATAACGAGTTTTATGGGAGATATGGATTAAATCTCTCAGATTTGAATATCTCAGAAACTAAAAATCTGATTATAATTTATATTATTAATCTCGCCTTGTTGAAGTTTTCACTTCAATCGTGTGGACTAAAGCACACCTCTTAGTTTTTCAATATATATTTAAAATTTTAAAAAGTTATCAATTTATTTATGACTTGAAGATGAAATCACAAATTACCTTGATTTTTTTTCTTCTTTATTTACATGAAAAACAATATGAGAATAAAAACTCTTAATGATCATTGGGAAGATTATCTTCGAAGCCTTGAAGCGTCAAAACAACTCGTAATGCGGTCTCGACAGAATTGTTTTATGGAATAACTAAGCGAAATAACAAATATAATAAAAAAACTGATATTAGCATAATAATTTATTCACGGTCCTTTAAAATTCTATTATAAAAACAACAACAAATAAAAACGAGTATCCATATTCATACTAGATATTTATAATATTTCCAAATATCTGCATTAAACTTACAAAAAGGGAAAAAAATAGCCAGAGAGGTAATCCTATTTGAATTTTATCACTATTTTGTTGAAAAGCTTTATAAAAGAGGAAAAGAGGATGAAATAAAAAAGGCATGAATACATTTAAGCTTGCCTTCAACTCTTGCAAGAGGGTACTGACATCAGAGTAATATTTTTTCTATTTGTTATCGGTCGGAGGGTTTAATGCCCTTATGTATATCTCGCAGGTGTATAAATGGTTGTATAAACACCAAATATATTGTATTATTGTATTAAATTAAATAGTTATTTGTAACTATAATAAACTTATTAATTCAAATAATAACTCAGCATGCTCGTTGACAGGGTGTCAGAGAAGGGAGAAAGTTACGAACTAATAGGACACGATAAAGTAATTTCAATATATTATAAATAACAGCATGCACATTTATTATCCTCTTGTAGTCTTGTAGTCTCATTTACAATTATGAATATTGGTTATGCATTAATGAGAAAGTAAAATTTTGTCAATTGAATCAAGATTAGCAATAAGATTGAATTTGGAATCAGTTATTCAAATTTTCGCAGGAATGAAGGCAAAGGTACATATGAAATAAATTTATGGGCTTAAACATACAATTTAGCTATCGGAATCTGGCCTACTTGGCATTAGTTTAGATTATTAATATATATAGTTTGTAAACAATCCATATATTTAATAGTAAATACTATTATAAATTGTATTAACGCACAACAAATAATAATGATAATATAAATAATAATGTAATTTTCCAACAAGTTGAATAAATTGAGAGATTATTTTTTGTCTTCCCTTTCCTTGCCTTTTATGCTATAAGGGGGTTATCTGGGCCAGTGGGTGATTAACGCTAGTGTTAAAAGCTCCCCTTGGTACCGGGACGCCAACTCGGCATTATTATATCACATTCTCTTTTATCCGGGTTGCAATCCGCAGTGCTGTGCACACACGTTAACCTGCTCGGCCACCCCACCCCTTAAATAGATAGTTAAATCAATATATAAATAAATGAGTCGGACTCGTAAAGAAGTCAACGAGTTTATACTATGAGCGTTATGAAAATGTAAAATAAGTCCTGGTATTTTAAAAATATTTAAAACTAATCTGGATTATATATGTGTATATGTATGTATATATATATATATATATATATATATATATATATATATATATATATATATATATATATATATATGTGTGTGTGTGTGTGTGTGTGTGTGTGTGTGTGTGTGTAAAACTTAAGATACTAATTATAGTCGGATAATAGGTATCAATAAACTAAAACAGCTCCTGTTTATTCTTTTTATTCAAAACGTTTCGATCCCTGTTTTTAAAATAGATAATCGGATTCTCTAGAGTTTTGGAAAAACAATACCCATCATTGGTACAACAATTAAAAGTTTTCATACATTTCATCAATAATCCTAAATTTATCTTAAATTGAGCATCGACACTCCAATTTTCAATTGAATGAGACTTAATAGGCAAGAATTGTGTTGTAAATAGTTCAAGCTATTCAAATTTTGTAAACGACACATTATTTAACAAATTAATATTAAATTATGTTGTCATTATTAAGTCATTTAGAAAACGATTTGTGGTATGTTTTATTGTTATTAAGAAAACTCTTGTTATTATAAAGCAATATTTCGGCTCAAGGTTTATACTGAAGCCTATAATTCCCATTATCTATTTATATATGCAAATTAATTTTTGCAACATATCCTCGTTTTATTTTTAAAATCATTTTCAGAGGAATTAAAAACATAAAGGTTCATTAATGGCAGGATTCTGAACAAAAAGAATAGACCTTCGAAACAGTTTGTAACGGTTTCTTCTGTTTATATTTTTTAGAAGAGTTCTGTTGTGACTAATTTTGTATGAAATATAGCAGTAATATAAGTACTTTATTAAAATGAAAAAATTTGTATCGATCGAAGGAGCAAAGTAGTTTCAAATATTTTTCAAAGGAGAAACAAAACTGATATTGGTATTTCGAATCTGGAAAAATGCTCAATAATAATTAAGAATAATTTCCTTAGCAATCGACAAATAATAAACATTGCCTCAAATTTTCGCCGAGGGAGAAAAGAGGGTTCAAATACATATATTTTACATATATATACATATATTTTAAATAGCGATGTATTCGCATTTTTATTTGCTTATAACTCTAAAATTACATAAATGGTACTGCATTGTTTTCTTTTCTAAGAACACATAAAAGTGGATTTACGAATATATACAAGAGTAGAAAAAAAAAATGTTGGATACATGCGATTTCATTTATGTTTTCTTCAAATGTTCAATTATGATTATGGTCGAATTTCGACCTAAGGGCGGACACAAGTCTATTTATATATGCAAATGAATTTTTTGAATAGATCCTCATTTTCATTTTTTAAATAATTTTCAGATGAATTAAAAATATAGATATTGATTAATAAGAGGATTCTATAAAAAAAAAAAAATTTTTAAAAAGTATTAATTATAAGTAAGGATCATTAATTAATTAAATATTTTATTAACAGATTTCTATCCGTAATATATCAATTAAGCAAATATATTGCATTTACGAATAATTTATCTTCGTTTGCTAGCAATAGTTTTACTATGTCATGCAGCTTACCATTTATTTGTATCACATAAGCAGGGCTTATTATCATTTTATAACTTATATTATAGATTTCTAAATTAAAAACTAATTTAAGTTATAGTTCACTATGTCTACACCAAGGACAGAAGGCGAATCGTCACGTTATGAAGACTATAGAAAAATATTAAATAAATATAATGTGTAAAACACGCGAAATAAATAAATAAATGACTCACTTGTTGGGCCACCTGTTCCTTTGCACTACACATGACTGAATGGGACTGCGGCCGGACCGTTACCCTTCCACAGCTACCCCCGCCACAACGGCTTCCTCGTGGTCTTCTGTGGTCTGGGGTTCTTCGGTTCTTGCCTTGCTGAGTAATAGGACTACTGAAAAAAATATTTTTCTCTATTTATTTGATAATAACTCTACGAATGGCTCTGAGGAGCGATAAATTTTGATGAATGCGATATTAAACGAAAGCGAATTTCATGGAGAAGTAACGAATTCCAATTTATACAACTACAATAAAGATCATGGAAAAAACATTTGGATGTTTCAAAACACAGATGGATTTGGAAGGGTTAAATATTCTTAGTAAGTTAGAGAACTACAAATCAAGGGTATTCTGCTCCAAACAAATAGATCTTGAAGGAGTATAATAAAGGATTATAGTCCGTGGTACAGACCACTTTTGATCAAATTATTAACGTAACCTAAAACTTCATCTCATCGTCACCTACAAATATTTTATTTACGAAAATCTTGGGAATGGGAGCGTTTTCAATCTGGAGATCGGCAAACATTGACTATGTAATAAGGTAATAAAAAATCATGAATGCCCATTTGCTTTCCACTTGAATCGTAAGATAATATGATCAAAAAATCGAAAAAAAAAATAAGATGGTATACAAAAATATTGGGCCGTTTGGCGTGACCTCCATCTCAAAATGTTAAAATCAGGAGATTTTTTTTCAGTTTTGTGATCATATTATCTTACTATCACGAGCGGATTTACGGGGTAGACTTTCGGGCTGAAGCCTTCCCCCTCCCCCCAAAATGATAAAATATAACCATGTTTTATCGAAAAAAAATGATCTCTTAAAGTATTATTGTTCATGTAATTACATTTAAAAGGGCTTTAGGAATCACTTAAACACCATTTCATATACGCAGTTAGTTAATTTATTTTTTCAAAATAATTATCGTTATTTAATCGTATAAAACGCCCCAATTCCGAGAATGTTTGTAAATAAAATATTTGTAGGTCACGATAAGATGAAACTATCTACGGAGTCTTAGGCGGATGTTAACAATTTAATAAAAAGGGGTCTGTACCACGAAACATTAGTATAAGTTGAGATATAGCTCTTAACTTGCGAGGATATTTTCCAATAGTACAAGCCTTTTAAGCAAATTGTTACTTTAACAGCTGTGTTAAAGTATGAAGTTTCACAAATTGTGTGTTACACACTAATGGATCCAGGATTTAATTTTGGGAGCTTCAGACCGAAAACTTTTTAAAAAAATATATATATAACGATTATTTCTTTGGGAAAAGAACTAAGATACTAACTACCAATATGGAATGGTGTTTAAATGATTCTTGAAGTCCTATTAAATGTCATTACACGAACAATAATACTTTTAATGATAATTTTTCTATTTTTTTTCCCCATAAGACATGGAATTATATTTTATATCATATTTTTGGAGGGAAGGAGAAAAGAGGAGGGCTTCAGCTTGGAAGTTCCCCTCACACTCATATATATATATATATATATCGCTGATGTCGTTTAAACGTGCGACTGCCTATAAAAGAATGATAGTCATTTAATGAGAGCATTGTCGCTAGGGTATACTAGTGCTTTTTATTTATTAATTAATTGTTTTTTTTTAAAATGCCAGTAGAATCGTTACAGATGCTTCTACGTCTTCTAGGATACCTTGAAGGCTCCTTTTCATTTCCAAATTTCCCCGCATTGAGAACATTTCAACTGCGAGCATTCAAGCGATTCCCTATGTAGAATTATTGGAGTGAAGTTTTCGATTTACTATCTGCCTATCCTGGAATTTTATGATTCCTTCTGACATGAGCCCTTCCATTTTCAGGTGATGTTCTTAGCTTCTTGAACAGCATAAGTAAGAGTTCATCTTACTGCCCCAAGCCATTTCGAAATTTTAAGGCTTTAGCTACTTCTCCTTCTACTTGTATAATGAGTCAAGATTTAAGATCTTCCTTTAGAATTACTTTATAATTAAAATTAAGGCTTAAGATGTAACTAGTTATAGAAAAAGTCTTACTTATAATAATTATGTGTAATCGTTATTTGTTTATAATTATTTTATTATTTTAAGGATAAGAAACAAATTATTAAATAAAAATTCACATGCCAATTGAAATACTGATACATGTCATTGCAACCGATAAATTCCTCAGACATTTGATCTCATTCTGTATGACTGCCATATTTTCTACAATAAACAGTACTACCTCATAAGAAGTATAGTTCTTGTATAAAGAGATAAATTGCCCCTGAAAGAAGAGGACATCTTCAAGAAACATAATAAGGAGATAATATATATTGATGTTGATCTTTAACTCCTCCAAGAACCTGAATAATAATTTTATTATAGTTATCCTTTTTATTTTAATCCCTTTGTTTTGTATTATGTATACTTATTTTTGTTATTTCTTTTCTTTTTTTCTCTCGTGTTCAATTAGAAAAATATGAACTTTACCATAATTGGGTAATTTGTAAATTTATAAGAAAAATGTAATTTTTCATCAAATTTAAACATGTATTATGCTTAATGCATGGAACATATAAAATTATACAAATAAATGGCCCTTGTACAGGACTACTTATTGTATAAGGGAAGGAGATAAAACAAAAAATAAAAATTCACAAATATCTGTAAATTTGAATTTTTGCTTTCAAATAACTGTTTCTGACACTTGCTAAGTACAAGACAAAGTCCTAGTGATTAATTCAATATCATCAGAAATTTCTGTGGAAAACTAAAACAAACAATCACAAAAAAAAAGAAAAGAAAAAAAAGAATGATGAAAGCTTCTTCACTTGTCTATAAAATTAAATGTTTTTTTATTTCCCTCCTCCCCCCCTCTTCTAAATGCTAAAGGGCAAGACAAAGTATCCCAAAAGCAGGGCCTACAAATAGAAATAACTATTGTATAATAATAAATAATGCAAGTGTTATTATTTTTATTTTTTTAATTGACCTACTTGTAAGGTTGTGAAGGAAAAATAGAAATAGTGAAGAAATTTCAAGAAAATGGACTAATAAATTTCTTTTTTTATATATTTTTTTCTTTTTTGTGGAAAGTTTTATGTTATTCTTTGTTATTTGGTAATGATGAATTCAGATTAAACAACAATTGAATTTATTTGTTGTATTTCCAAATTACATGTTTACATGTTAACGTTTCGGGATATTTACTCCCATCTTCAGAACTACAATCCTAATGTTTTTTTGTTGATACATGGCTTAAATCTAATGTGCTCCATTGTCAGGTTCTGAACTCAATTCTTCAGAATTGTATTCACCATGGCAGACACCCAATAATTGGTCTAAAAGCATGATGTTGCTCAGAATATTATATACCTTAATTTATTATAACATGAGTTTAGAACCTGACAATGGAGCACATTAGATTTAAGTCATGTATCAACAAACAAAAACATAGGGATTGTTGTTCTAAAGATGGGAGTAAATATCCTGGAACGTTAACATATAATTTGAAAATACAAAAATAAATTCAATTGTTGTTAAATTGGAAGTCATGATTGAAAAATAACAAAGAATTTATTTTTTAATGAACATGGCATATTTTTAAACTATGTATAGTAAACTGAAACAAATGCACTTTTTTCGGTGGACAACTTTCTAATGCCACTCAAAAGTTGTCTTTTTATGTCAATAAAAACACCACAAAATTTCGTGTTTTAATATTTATGTATTGAGATTTAGCAAGAGACATAAAAATAAGGTTTAAAAAAAAAAATTATATTAATTTTTGTCTCAAATTTCTGCATGTTCTTTTTTGAAGAAAATTTTGCTTTTTAAAAGCCATCTGTTGTTTGGAGACCACAAAACCTTAGTGATATCTGTCACAAGCTTTACAACTCTTTCCAGTGCTTGTGTGTGGCTGTGAAAACGGAGGACATCTCTAAATTGCTTCTTGCTACTAGGTTCTGTTCTTTAGTGTTTTAAATCCTTAACAATTAAGTATTTGGTGATTGGAGGCTTAGTGTTTTTTATATCCATCCAATCAATCAATTCTGCATACAGGTTGAGCTTAGGGATCACAAATTTTCTTATGTCAGTTTGGGATTTTTTCTTGCCCTTAGATTTTGGCGAAGACTTAGTTCTTTTATTTGTTTTCATTCAAAAAGTAACATATATAGCAGCATGTTTTCTGGGTGAGCATAATAACCATTTATTTGGATGAATAAATTAATTATTTTTGAATACTGCTCATCAAGCAGCTTTATGTATGTTTAATTTAATATATATATATATATATATATATATATATATATATATATATATATATATATATATATATATATTTTAATATATTTAAATATAAACTCAACAAGAAACTTCAGGCCTCCAAAAATTCGGATATTATTCAGTTAATGAGATATAATCATTATATTCATGAAACAGGCATCAAATTCATACCAAATTTGGTTCCTATCAAAATTTATCGTCAGTGGAGACATAAACCAAATCTGGTTCATACCTATAAAAGTATAAAACCTTTCAGCTTAATAGAATAGAAATTAAAAACAATAGAATTGCAAATAAATATTTAATATTAAATAAATTACGAAATACATAGATAAGTATAATGGATGCATTAAGCAATATTTAATATACTGGTTTTAAATTTTCATTAAGTTTAAATAATTAATGTAGTAATAATTAAATATGCAGAGTTATTTGCAGTAACTAACATCAAAGTATATCTTGAGATATTGCAGGAAATAATATGGTAGAAAGTCAATTTTAATAAATAACAAACAAATATGTTAATAATGGCAAGAAGAGATATGAATATTATAGTAAGAGAAAAAATAGAGAATGGATAGTAGTATTAGTTTGAAATAACTACTGTATTTAAGGTTGATAATATTTGTATAATTATTTTAGATGAATGAGTCATTTGGATGAATACTATAGGTCAAAACGTCAACCAATTCAGTTGAAGAAGTAACAAAAATGTTCACCAGTCTAAATAAGAGCCTTTCGACATTAGAGCTTCTAATGGACATTTAAAA